GGTAACCCCCTGATGTAGCCTCACACGTCTGAAACATGTTTAAACATGTTTACTAAAGAAGGTCAGAGCGGATCGCCGCGTGACTCAAACCATTTCCTACCAGTCACGTTAATGATTGCATTTATATAACATTATGTATTAAATGCATTATTCACCATTTGGTCTTTAAAAACAACAACAGGCCTTGTGATGCACTTCCTGTGGGCGGAGCTCATAGCTGTACCTGGAGCGCGTGTGGGTTGATCCCCAGTGTAGAGGCTATGTGGCCGGCTGCAGATACGCCGTCGAGCTCTGAGGAGGCCAGACCGCCGAGCTTGGAGATCGTCGTGTCCGTCTCCCCCGCCAGCAGGTCGCCATCTTCCTCTCCTCCCAGCATGCTCTCTGTCGGGAAGCTCTGGGTGATGTCAGCCATGTCGCTGTCGAGCTCGATGGCGCCGCCCTGCAGCTCCATGATGGCGATGGACTGAAGGCAAACAGACATGTTAGTGATTTTGCTGAGTTTTCATATTCAGAGTTTACAGAGCGCGCTCTTTATAGACGATGTGGGCGGAGTTCAGAGATCGTGCCACCTGATGGCCCCGCCTCCATGTGTTACCTGTGGTTTTGTTACTTTAACACACCTTCATGTCGGATCCTGGACAAACGTTTGAACGTCTCTTCTTCGTGTTCCAACCTCAGACGTTCAGATGAGTAAAAATAAAACCGTCTGAATCGAGCGAGCACGCATCGACCTATTTTTGTCAAAGTAGGTGGGAATAAAACAGGCGGGTTCTCCTCTTTATCAGCCAATCAGAGCCGAGCTTCTCTCTGGAGTAACGACCATCTTCACACAAAGTTTACAGACCAAAGTTCAAATGTCTTCATTAACTTTATTTGTTTTCATTCATTTCAACGAGAAAATGTTACATTTTGTCACAAATTAAATCAGGTTTCTATAAAAATCTCCCTCAAACTGAGTTTGTTTACCAAAGATCAAACAGTCTGTCAGCGTCTAAACATCACAACAACACAAAACAGCAAAAGTAGATGAGCGAGGCGAGTCCACCCCCGGGCGCTGCTACAAACAAAACTGACAATTTTAAATCCTCCAAAGAACCCTGACCCCGAAACGACCCCCGCCCCACACCTTGAACACCTTCCTTCCTGCAGCTTGTCTGAGCTGTGGACACGCTGCATTCTTCTTCTACTTCACGGCTTCTGTAAACCTGACCCGACCTTTCACCTCG